GCTGTACATATTATGATTCCATAATATGATGATAGTTATAAATAAATAACCCGGTAAATAATCCTTTAGCAAATTAGTAATAATTTACCTTCTAATATTCAACTCATCACACACCTATGCTAACCAACATCAAAGATACTAGAAATACAAGATAGAGTTCTCCCAAAGATACTAGAAAAAACAAAAACAAAAAGTGTTCCACCGAAATGCATGGTGGGAATACGAAAAATGGGACGCCCCCTACAGCTGGATCTAAAAAAACTTGTGCCAAACTTTCGTTACCAAGTCGTCGCGTAATTTATTATCAATTCTCAACAAAGATCCTGTCTCTTATACACATCTAGATGTGTATAAGAGACAGTATATATATATATCCCAAGTTTGAAAATAATGATATTTTTACTATAATAAAGCATTTTGCAAACTGTATTGTATATTAGATAGTAATCATATTATAGATAGTACGGTAATACTTATGAACGCCAAGCTTACTGGTTAAAATACATAATTACCTTTACCGAGCATGCATTAAAAGAAAATAAAAAAATTAAAACCAGAGAAAATTAAAAATAAAATTTTTAAAAATAATTGAAAAATATGAGAAAAGAGAAAAAGAAGGACGCTAACAAAGAATAGGCCCAGAGGAAAAGAAAAAGATAACGAAGCGGAGAAAATTAAAACTGTGTAAAACCTTATTATCGGCGACGACAATTTAGGCCTACAGACCGCACGAGATCGTACAGATACAAATATCTTTTTGGTACGGGTTGATCAAAATGACGTGTGTACGGGTTAACCAAGACGTGGGTGCGGGTCGACCAAAATTTGTGTACGGCTTAACCAAAGTGGGTACGGGTTGGTATGGGTACGGGTTTGTTTGGGTACGGATTGACCGACACCCGTTCAGACATTACATTTTAGGGCCAGGCCTCCGGTGGCTACGCCTATGATCGACTGACCTCAACAAAACAGTGCCTGTGGAATTGAATTCGTTGTGATCGGATTCCGTGGTAATCGGGAGTAATAAAGATTGTAGCACCCAATCGCAACGGGTAACAATTGCGATATCGATTACATATCGACTATTGGTGAGTGCGATTGGGTGTCGCAATTGCTATTTCGCCTCCTTTATCCTTATTTACCGTTTTTCTTTCTGGTTATACCCATGTCGTTCCATGTGCCATCTTGTGTTTAAAAACAGTGTTTGTTATGCCTATATCATTACGTATAATGCAAATTCCAACCCATGCAATCAAGTGGATTATGTAATTTTTAAAAAAGGTCACATGCCTCTTGGTTATGATTCGCGATCATTCAGGTATTACCATAAAACGCTGATCAGACTCGTCAAAACTAAAACTAGAACTTCAATGGTTTAAAGCATATGCAAAGAAAAAAAAGAAACCAGCGCTAAACTTAGCGAAATTTAAAGATAAACAAACACAAATAAAGTACCGGAACAAAGTTAATTAAAAACTAAGCATAATACCATAGTCAACAATACAAACAAAATGGAACAAAATAGTAAGTACATGCAAAGAGGCAGCAGCAATTGAAGTGGTAGGATTTAAAGACAAGAAAAATAAATCGCAAAATGAAGACATCGTAAGACTATCCAATAAACAAAAGAAACTGAGAACTGATATTTGCCAATCAAGACAAAACATAAGAGAACTACTTCGCAGAAGAAGAAATCAAACGCTAAAGGAACTCCATAACAAATTAAATCAGGAAAAGGAAGAAAATATAGAGGCAAAAGTTAAAGAAATGGAAAAATGTAAGGATAATCCAAGGAAAATGTTCGAAGCAGTAAGAAGTCTAAGAATATATTCTAAAAAGAAATTGCTTATAGACCGTGAGTACGGCTTAACGTCAAACGAGAAAATACAATGTGAAATATTGACACAACATTTTAAGCAGATATACAATAAAATTTACATCAAAGAAATCGACAATATCACACCCGTTGAAATGAAAACACCATTCGCGTGCGACGAAATTGAACGTGCAGTAAAAGCTTATAACAAAGATACTAGAAATACAAGATAGAGTTCTCCACACAAAAAAAGTGTTCCACCGCGTTCCACCGAAATGCATGGTGGGAATACGAAAAATGGGACGCCCCCTACAGCTGGACCTAAAAAAACTTGTGCCAAACTTTCGTTACCAAGTCGTCGCGTATTTTATTATCAATTCTCAACAAAGATCTAGATATAAAAACAAACTGGAATAGACACCCAGACAGTGACATCGGTGAATACATGACCTCCTTGGTGGCGGTAGAAATCGTTGCTATTATCCAAATAATACACAAAACAATTAAAGCATAATCATGAATCAGTAAAGAATAAAACAACAATACAGCGCAGAATCGCATGGCCGGACGCACTC